TCTTCCACCCCCTCCAGCTGGGAGCAACAATGGTGGTGCAACGTCTGCAGCAACCGCAAACGTTGCACAGCCCAGCACCACCGCGCCGATTGCCAGTCCGGAAGGGGTGAGCGACGTAAGTAGAAAAGCCCTAAACGAAATATCCGCAGACGCGAAGATGGTGCGCGATAATTCCGCGAACCTTCGCAAAATATTTTACGCTATATTTATATTTATATTTTCTCGCCCGCGTCGCGAATGTATAACAACCTTTTCGCATTTTTATTCGCATTTCGAGTGGCGACGTTATTTCTATAGTTGGGAGAAAAAGAGCCGCGTGTCAGGATTTTAAAAAATTCTACTTTATTCGTCAATCGGGTTGCACGATGTGGCAGGATTTGTGTAGATACGGAAAGAAAGGAAATTGATGAAAATATATCTTACGTTTTATTTCCATGATGGCGACGCGTTGATAAAAGAATCGTTTTCTGAGTCCTGCAGAGTTTCAGCTGTCTTGTCATAAATCCACAGCTTTCTCTTACCTTGTATTTTATATTTTTATTATATTCTTACCCTTTCTTACCCTTTATTTATTTACCTCTCTCACCCCTTTTATGCTGCTACCCTATATTTCATATTCTTTGAACTCGAGACTATCTTATTATAGACTCCACGACTTATTTTATATTTTTCAAACCTTTCGACCCTTCGTACATAGCTTGGAGCACTTGGAAATTATCCCTGTCAATTTTTCTTTCGCTTGCGTCAGTCAGTGGAGCAAGTTATTCGTCAGGGGGCAGGAATTTCCTCGTCGGGGGTTTCTGGAATGGCAGAATAATGTCTAAGGACGGAGCGAGGAGCACGAAAGTTGAAATTCCAAGGCACGTGTAAAAACGAAACGGTGGCTCGTGCAACACGAAATGCAAGGTTATGGCACCATGCAAAGGTCGGCCTAATGGCGCATACCTAAGTCATACAATTGGAGCGCATGTAGAGTCGTTCGGGCATCAGGGATGAAACCACCCGTCGCGCCTACTGCTTCCATCCATTTCAATTTCACAAGCATCCCCGATGGTCGGAGGTAATGGACGTTGGTCGCGCTATCGAGCCGAGCTAACTGAATCACCGGAACATATCGGGAATATTGTCCATTCCCGCGAGCATCCTCGAATTTTACAGACTTCCGCCCACTCCCTCATCTCGTCAACGCCGCTTCCTGCATATTGCTTCTACGTTTCATCATCCTTATCCAGCCCCGTCTCCACATTTTTATTGCTACTCCGTTCCAACCCGATCTGACCTTATACACCCTACGATTCGAACCGTAACCTCATCATCCGCAACGATAATTCCCACAGAAGCACGTTTTCGCGGTGACCAAGACGAAGAAATTGCCATGGAAATGTCACACGTTATGCACGCTCAGGGCTGGCAACCTTCAGCCTCTGTGAATAATGGCTGAGAATAATCGCTCTTTTCCACTATTTTTCCCGAACAATTTTATTTATTTATTTATTTATTAAACGACAAAACCCATTAGAATACAAAGGAAATAGAACCAAGGTAAATATCTAGAGAAACACCAAAAAGTTCCATTGCTTGATTATTATTATTTGCCAAGGAAGTGATTCGAATCTTCTTCTCTCGAAACGCTTCAAATTTTTCCGGAAAGTACGTTCCTGGAACTACCACTGGTTAAAATTTGCTAGACAAATAATAATCATTGCAGCGATGACACGAACTAGGGTGACGGATCTATAGAAATTTTGTAAAATTGACAGACATGAATTTTCGTTGCCACTTCTGAAATGAAAGGCTAGTCTTCGATGATTCGGAAGTTTTACACGGTTTGAAATATGGCGGACATTACGTGTCTCGCGTTGGAAGTTGCCGACGAGTTGGCTGGTCACTGCCGGTTAAAAAGTTGAAAGAATCCGCGTCGTTTATAAGTCAATCCGGCAGCACTTCCCGAATATCTTCCGCCGTCGTGAGCCTTAGCCTTAAACCATGCCCTCAACCCCGAAGGCGTCCTCAGCCCCTCGCCGAACCCCGGGTAAATTCAGCCTGATCGCGTGCACTCGCTTGAAAACACGTCCGGTATCGATCGTGTCGCAGGAGTGTACGCGATGCTAACGATATTCCAGCCGGCTGTCACGTGAAACGGAAGTCCGAGTCAAGGGTAGCTGTGCGCAGACCGTGCCCAAAGGGTTGCTTGGTTTTCCAGGTGTCCCAAAAGTCCGGGATCTGGGAGGGTGCGAACTTCTCGTCGGCAGGAGGCGCGGAGGGACCATCTCGGAGCGTGTCGCATGCTGCGAGCTTGGACGCGATCTCGAGGCGGGCTGTGAAACCGGAAACGGCGAGGGCGCCATGTCGCAGCCTCACCTGCAGCGTCTGTAAGTACCCTAAACTCCGACCCGTGGTGTTGCTCGTTCGCTCGTTCTGTTTTCAGTTATTTTTCTTTTTTTTCCCCCGGAATTTCGTGGATTGCCTTTTCACGTATTAGCTCTGAGCTTTCTCTGTGGAACGACGGCTTCCTTTTCCCGGTGACGGAACGGTAAGAGGAGAGTCCCGATATCTTAGAGTACTCGGGCCCGTTTCGCTTTCGCAGAGACCGGGCGAGATCCGCCATGAGCCTTGTCTGATGTATAAACGCCTCGAATGCGGATGTATACGCGTAGTATTGCGGCGAAATTGCAATTAACGATGTAGAACATAATACTGCCGCATGCGATGTTTCGTGTCGCGAATGTTGACAGATAGTGGCCGCGCGTGTCTCACGTGACGGAATTATCGCTGCCGTTCGTCACGGAGCTTCCTTGCAAGGAGCTATAGTAGCTTCGCTTTTCATACCTCGTGATCGATTAGAAAGAAAAAAAAAAAATTAAATATCCAGTTGAATTATTATTACGTATTAATTCTCCATGCGTAAATCAGGCTCGTTCGCGTCGTGTCAATTTTCAGCTTGTTTGCTATTCTAGTAAACAAATGTGCGAAACTGTAGATGTAATGTATTCGAACGAAACATTTGTCCAAAGTTTGATCACAATTTTGACACGGTTTTCGATATCGTCACTTACAAATGGGGATTTTTAAATAATCGTATGGATTTTGAAATAATAATTCCGCAAGGATGGTCAACGTATAAAGAAATTAATTAATATCGGAAAGTAGCACAATTTTTTTCCAATTTCTTTAAAAATTATCCTGATTTGCGCAATTAGGGTGCGGAGAATTCATTCACACGGTACTAATTTAATATTCCGATAAATATTTGCAAATTATGATCGAGGTAAAAGAAGAAACGAAGTACGAACTGCAGCCTCGCTATCTGTCAACCATCGACGAAAGCTCGAAAGTCGAAAGTCTCGGTAAAACGGCGCGAGTTGGCGCCCGTAGACCGAGAGCCAGCCCCCTGTTACCACCCCCGGAGTGAGCGCCGAAGGGACGCCGCGTTCCCCGTCGATCATCCCCCTTTCGCCAGGCGTAACGCGTTGCAATTTGCGTGGCCCTTCGTTCGAAACAGGCCTGACCCTCGACACGAAGTTTAAAAAGCAAAAGTCAAACCATAGTAAACGTATTTTAGTAGCGGGCCGAGGGAGCGAACACGTCACCCTCGAGCGACGGCCAGCGACAGTCGATAATCTCACGGAAGGTAAAACAGGATGGTGCAGCCCGTCTGCCACCCCTTTGGTTTTTCTTTTAACCGACCGAGCGCCGGCGAGTTTGCACCCCTTTTACAACTTACCAAGCGCTTGCGGCTTTTCTTTTTTTGGTCATGAGCTTTTTCCAGAGATAACGTAACCGTTGTCCGATTGAGCTTCCATAGGCCTGTTTTTTATACTGCCACTCCACCATCTATATACCACTCTATTACTCCTTTACATTCTTATATACCTCGCATACCCGTGAAACTCTCTTTCTCTCTCTCTCTCTCTCTCGCTCTCTTTCTTTCTAAAGCAACGCGACACCTGTCTCTGTTCTTCTTTCATCCTACTCCTATTTGCCTCTGCCTTTCTCTCTCTCTCTCTCTCTCTCTTTTTCTCTCCCGTATCTTTCTGCCATACTGTTTACAAGACGAGCACCGTAGTATCGCTCGGTCAGCCATTTTGTACTCCCAGAATGTTCGGTCTATCCCAGACGAAGGAAGGTTTTCTGACGTTCGATTATTCGTGTCGCGAGGGATTTCGCCAGGACGAGGATGTCTTTCGGTTCTTCAGAGCTTCGTCGAGTCTCCGTAATAGCGAAGAGACTGTCGCGGCTGAGCCTGAGGACACTTCCGGTCCAGCTGAATCCCCGTCGATGCGGGACTAAGGGTAGACTCGAGTACGCAGGGCTGACCGAAGCGTGGAAGACGATCTTGTTAGTTACGTTTCTTATCTCACGATGGGAACAAAAATTGGCTGACCTTCTCTACACACGGCTTCTCTTCCTGTGTCTCCTGTTCATGAAATCGTTCAACTTCCGGGAGAGTTTCCCTAGATAGTACCGCAAACGGTCTAGGAGGGCAGAATCGACAATCACCACGATGTCATTGTAAAAATCATCATCAGAAAGAAACGATTCCCATGTTTCCCTGTCTATGTGTATATCTATATACATGTCTGTATACATATCTTTATATATATATATAAATTTTATAAACAAATATACATACTTCTCGAGCGTAGCAATTATCGCATTGTCATCTCTGAGAATAACTACACGGTCTTCTACAAACATTTAAACGGTCTTTCTTTCACAGGTATGCAGCTTCTAGTGCGAATTGACTAACCCGTTAACGAACACACTATTTTAACGCTTTTAGATCGAGATATAGGCTCGGTTGTTTGTTTATATTTACTACTCTTTCTCTAATACCTACACCGCGCGTAGGCTCTCTATACATTGGCCACCATTTTCTTTTTTAGTTCACACTTGTCAGTAATGAACCTCTTGCTGGAACAGTTACTCTGTAAAATAGACGTCGACTTGTCGAGACATCTCTGTGTGCTTCCGTTCATCACACATGTATCTTTTACATTTTAGAATAGTGCGTGTGATTGTAATTGGTGTTTGTAACAGATGCGTTCTAACGAGACATTGTACATCGAACAGCAAATTTCACGCCACCTGTCTTATTCAGATCTCTCTATGCAGTTCGTTCCTAGACGTCGAGTCGATCGATTTTATTTTTCTACCTGTCTCTCTTTCTTTTTCTCTCCTTCCTCTTCTCCTTTTTCTTCTCACTTTTGCGCATAGCAAAGATAAAGCAGAGAAAAAGAAGTATATTGTGCACCGAAGTTTGGCAAGTTACTCGCGCGAATTTACGTTAGTACGCCAGATTTATCACGTTATCAATAATTTTCGAGAAACACGTTGGATAGTTTTGATTTAATCGAGCCTGTATTTCACACGTATAGTTTTGTAACGATAATAGGATTAAAGAACGTCGTAAAAGGGAGCGACACGGTGCACACCTTTGACGCGAACATTTGTGTTTCTAGCAACTAAACATTCGAAAATCTTTCCTGGCGTTGCGTCCGAAAGTGACTTGCAAAAATGGCGGACGTCCAAAGACCGGAAGTCGCCATCCCTCAGCCAGATGGGGCCGGATTCCAACAAACACAAAGTAAGTAAACGAAGCGTCCTCTCGTGTTCGAATCTCGAGTGTCGACACTTTCGAATTCTCTCGAACTCTTTTAAAAAGAAATACAGATGATTCTCCATCGTAATTATTCTCCCTTTCCTGTTTCAGTTTTCCTTGCAGGACAACGGGTCCGCGAAATACTTCCAGGGAGCCATGCACACGTCGAACATGGGAGAGAAGGTAGCCCAGGTAAGCCAAGTTCCTATGGAAATCTCTGCGAAGGATCTGTCTCTCTCGATCGTCAGCTGGTCTCGTGACAGTGAGCTCCGAACCTTAAGCACGAGGAGCCTTATGGCCTTATGGAAAAGTTGGACGAAAGTCAGCCACGAGATGCTGCGAGTTTATATGCAGACCACAATACTCGGTCTCGCCTTGGAACTTTGGCGAGGAGAGAACATTCTCGCAAGATGGTCCCGGATTTCTAATAGAGTCACGTCAGCGAACTTTTATCCCCGGATACGCTGCGATCTCAGGGACAAACGGAATTTTCTCGCTACTTTCTTCTTTCCCTCGGCCATGTCCTTCCTGGCTTCTTCAGTCGGAACAGGCGCCACGGGATACGTCGATTGTTTGCCGGTGGAAACTTTTAATTCCTCGAAGGGGGACCTCGTCGTCCTGTTCTACCTGGTCTACGAAGTTTGCTTTCCCAGGGAAACGAAGCCTCGCGAATGAACTCCTCTCTGACGCTTCCACGGTTTCGCGAGGAGCAGAGGTGTGCTTCGAGTGCTTCGTGGAAAGCAAAGTCAGTTTTTAATAAAGCTTAATAGGCAGAAGTCGAGACAAAGTCACGGGGTAATTGATAGGGGTAAGAGTCTCGAATTCTAAACAACCCCGAGCGCTTCGTTCTCTTGAGAAATTTCTTGGTAAGCTTCGAGGTCGCTTTGTCAATGCGTAGAATGTTCGAGTGACTGTTGTAGGATTATTCCTTGGGTATTTGTCGACGAGCCACTGCCCTGTTCTACCGTGGCCTCGTTTGATCGACACGTACCGTTCATTTCCCAGGCGACCGCATACTTGTCCGACATATTTCATTTTACTTCACTGAAAAGTGCAGATCTCGTGCTGCCATTTTGTCTTTGGTATGGGAATATCGGTTACCCTCGAAGAAATTTCCGCATTAGTGACGCGAGTCTCGTTTTTATATCGATGGTACGTACCGTCTGGCTAGAAACGACTCGTTCCACTGATTCTACAGGGAACCGAATCAACGATTCGTTTGCGCTATGAATTACCAACGAGTGGAGGATCTCTTGAATTTTATTGGTGGTTTTATTCGAGAAAGGTGACGTATAATGGAGGAAGGATAATACGTGTATTGCATTTGCCAAGAAATTTCGTTCGCAGAAGGGAAAGATGAATTTCGATGTAGGTCATTTAAGATGCTCGGCGTGTTCCGCGTTACTTCATTGATTCCGTGCATGAACATATACCGTCGTTTATATATCTGGCTTTTTTCTATAATAAGCACCTATCTCGAGGAACGTATTTTCTTTATTGAAGGCAGTTATCGCTGGGAGGAAAGGAATAAATATTTTACGATCTTCCGGCTTAAAATATTACTCGTTATCTCGGCGAATTTATAGTAGATCGCTTGTTTCTCTGGACACAAATACTGTCGCGGTATTATATTATTTATAGTTTCTAGGTCTCGAAGTAGCAACGCAGTTGTTCCGAACGAAATTCGCAGCATCGTTGCCAGTTACACGGCATAATAATGTTTATCATGACACCCCGTGGTAATACAGCCCTGACTGGCGCCAATCAGTCTGCGCCGCAGTCTTGGGGGCGGGAATCCCCTGCACTGGATTTCCACAAATTGAGCAGGCGATTTTATGCCAATGTTACACTTTTTCCCTGCGCTAGCAACTTTGCACAGGCAAATTTTCCGGCCTGTGCAATTTCTTCTAATTTAGCCACGAAAAAACCTTTCCTGTCGCTCGATTATTTCCAGGAATACGTAAATTCCACGAACCAGCCAGAAACACGAGAATACGAAACGAGGAGAGTCTCGAAATTCCACGATAAACGCGAGAGGTATTGAATTTTTGTTTTATTTATTTATTTAAACGAGATAAACCCACCAAGCTATGTTGTAGGATTCTCGATAATTCGTTTCACGATTTACTCACGGAATCTGCGAAGAAAGGTAACGGAAGAGGGTAGAAATTTGCGCAATTCCAGATATGGATTATTGGATCCGTGTCAGCATACTTCGTGACATACTTATGAACGTGGATCGACCAAGTGAGCAGTATTTTAAACCACTCCGACGATTGTCAATTAAAAATCTCGTGCATAAATAGCACGAGCAGAGACTGGCTACAATGCCTCGAAATCGATGCGACGTTAGACGACAGGTTGCCGAATAATTTATAACACTCGGATCACGAGGAGTGTACGAGTCGACTCTCGCACTCGGGGAACAAAGATTTCCGCGGAGTTCTCGTTCACGATCAAGTGTCGACTTATACTTTGCACGCTCTCGTCATTGCTTTTCTCCTCAGTCGAGGATGGATGGATGGATGGAGAAGCCACTTGATCGGTCTCGCTTAGGGACGCCGGCCTTTAAACAATTTCCTTGTTTGAAATAGCGTCGACGTCAATATGCTTATCGACTTCTAGAGGGTCAAATGTCTCGAGCTTTCCAGCTCGGAGTGGCTGAAGCTCGTATGACACGTGTGACGAGGCTGTTAAACGAATAAATTTCCTACGTTCTTCAACCCTTTAACGACCGTGCTAACACGGTTTCAATTTTCTGTCAAATTTCCTTACCTCGTGTCAACGTGTTTCCGAGATCATTCAGACTAAATCGACGATAAAACGATTCTTGTAAAATATTTCGGTCCTTAAGGGGTTGAAGAGGAATTAGAAATCGACGACACTTGGATTTCAAAAAATTTGGGTGGGTGCTTCGACAAGGTTTACGGTAATTTTATGCTTTAAACGAGGATATTTTTTTCTCGCGCGATAGTCGAAGATGTGTAACCCACATGGTTAACACGGAGTTTCGCTAGTTTCCTCTTAACCGAGTTTCCGAAAGTCTCTGCATACAGAACTAGCAGACAGCTCTTCGTAATCGATACATATGGCCGCAGTTACGGTAGTTTTATAGCTTCGCGCGATACGACGACGCGGGCTGACTTAAAGAACAGAATTTATCACTGATAAAGCATCCCGAGACCTGGAAAGAATGGGGGGTAATTTGAAAAATGTTCAACTCGTATTCCTCGAGTAGGGCAATTACGTAGGTACTCGAAGCTTCGCTTTTTCCGATGACCCTGGAGCGACTTAAAATTATAGACGAAGAATTTTCTGCGTCTATCTGTCAAGCTCCTAGCCATCGTTATTCCCGAGTGACCTAATAAAGTGGAAGAAATAAACGAATTATAGCACGTGATCCTACTTTCACGAATAACCATGTACGTATGCTCTTCTCTCTTCTACATTGCTTCAACCATAATTTCAAACACTCGTTTATATCCTCTTCGAACGTGTTCTCAATGAAATTGTTACCTCTCCGATTTCTCTGACTATTTTTATTCACTCGATTGATATTTCTAGCGTGAATTTGTCACCACGATTGCGGCCACAAGGTGTACCTTCATCTGTAAACCCTCCATCCTATCTGGAATGCTCTTTGTGCACACGAACCAGCCAGTCCGAATTGCATTTAGGCCGGCAGGGTTTTTTCCTCACCCCGACATTCAATCGGCGAGGCTCATCATCGTTGGGGTAAAGCTATTTACATCGGGCGAACTCGAAGCCGACAATATCGATAACCGATACTGCGCCTGTTTTCTCCAGCCCAGTCTCAAACAACGTTACGATGATGTCGCGGAAACTATTACGGTGAATTAAAGACACGCCTATTGTTGTCCGCGACAAAGGGATCCGATCTTGGGAATCCCTTAATAACCGTAGAAATATTCCATTGTCCGCGCGAATCATTCGTTCCTGCCGGAGAAATTGTACTCGACAGGTTCGAAAATTGAAGAATTCGCTACGCAATCTAGCAAGAAATTAATTAAATTTTGTAATTAAGAAAAAAACACCGAGAATTTACTGAGATATGAAATTGAATTTCATTCTAGTTGGAAAATTTCTTCCTCTGATTCAAAATCAAGGAATTTATTTCTATGCGATATCAGTAGCTAGAAAATATTGTAATCGAGAAAAGAGTACCGAGAATTTTATTCTAGAATATTAAGATAATCGTTTGTATATAAATTAAGTGGAATTGTAGTAGTCGGAAAATTTCTCTGCATTACCAGGCAATTTTCTTCAGTGAAAAATACAACGCTGCGTCATTCTCAATGATTATCTCCGTCGATTTTTCACTCGAGAATATTTTTAGTAGACGGAGATATCGATTTTTCGCAAGCTCCTCGAAATATCCCGTACTATTTTATTACACACTGATTGTACTTCAGATTACTCCCTTGCCACGCAATTATAGTTACGTATATCGAGCGTGGTATGATTCTTGGTTCGATAACCGATAATACAAAATGTAATTGCATAATCATGTTCCTTTGTAAAAGGCAACCCTCAAATTGCGTCTGTTACCGGTGAACCGTAAAAATGTCGCGCGGCACATAAAAGCAAAATTAATTAACAAACCGGCATGCAAATACCGCGACATAATTATATCCCCCTGAATATGGATTATCTTATCAAAGGCGAGCGATAACATCGCGTATCCCGTGGGAAAAAGGGTGGGCGATAAAAGCGAGCAGCGAGAAGCGAGGCAAAAATAGCTCTTAAATTACAGAAGAATGGAACGTTCTCCGTATTTTGTTTTGAATCGAAAACGAGGGTCCAGTAGAACGAGGGCCGCGTTAGTCAGACAGAGGAAGCCGGCTGAAAAGCGACGAGCGTCGAGCAACGAAACGAAACAATCTTTGCACAGAATCACCGAATAACCCAACAAAAGCTCTCCCTGCAGAATGCCTGGCAACGAATTCACAAAGAAGAGCACAGAGGGGAGAAAAAAGAGGAAAAGAAAAACGAAGCATAAAAGAAAGACACGCATACAGGCGAGTGTACGATATACAACGGAGTATCCTTTGGAGAACAACGCAGAGAGTCCCGATAAAATAAAACGGCAGAAGAAGGAAAAAAAGGAAGGGCGAAGGAAACAAAACCGAGGAGTCGTAAAGAGGAACGCGATGGCACGAGCAAAGGGAGAG